ATGTCATATTAATTATTGATGTCTCGGGCATCTTATACGCAGAGCAAAGCTTTGATCTATTCAAATATCAACTGAAGTTGAAGGTCATAAAAATGTAGTTCAAATCGTAAAATGTATTACGCAGCGATAACATTAAAGATTTATCGGCAAACACATTTTAAATGTTCAAAACATAATTTGTTTTCATATTAAAATTTATGCTAAAGCAATAAGTTACGCTTTGTATTCGATCCCGTGCAAAAATGACGTTAAAATTTTCGAAAATAATCTAGAAATCAGATGAACACCGAAAAAAATGCTGGGCGAAAATGTTGTTTTTTAGCTTTGATGTACGAAACAAATGTATTACTCGGCAATAGCCACGTTTTGAAACACGCCGAAAAATAATGTATTTTGCATTTGAATCCACATCGTTCCATGGCCGTATAAAATATATATATATATATATATATATATATCTATGTAGGCGTGCCCGAGGCTACGTTTCAGACGATGGCGAAGATGCTCCGAGAACATTACAGCGACGCGAGCGGTTCCGAGGAGCATCAAGTGAGGATGGTAGGCGCACGTAACGAAAGCTGGTAAAGTGGCGGAGAAAGAACAGTCGGAGGAGGAGGAGGAGGAGGAGGCGGAGAAAGCCACGCGGCGAGCAGTTAACGAGAGGGTGATTAATTGTGTATTTATGTATTCCGTGGATTGTTTCAGCACACCGCCGCCGCCACCGCCTCGCCCGCACCGCAGCACCGGCGTGCGCTACACTACTGTTACGGCGGTAGCCGTTGCACGTGTCTTATCTTGGCGAATTTCGCCGTGCTCCCCCGTCACCCGCAACGCACCACTCATGCCGCCCTCCGATCTCCGCTCTCGGGCAGCGCTAATTCCCGCGCACCCACCAACGTTATACACGTACCCCTTTCACCGAAAGCTACAAATCATAAGCACCCCGAAACTATCAGCGTCCCCGTTATACATATATATGTGCGTGTGTTTGTGTGTGTGTGTATTTGTACGTTCAGAATATTAACTATATAAATATATGTATATACCATGTGTATGGTAACCGACTGCGTTATGTGCATTAATTTTAACTGTTTCACCGCGCGCGCCTGTGTGTGTGTGTGTGTGTGTCGGTGTACATAATAATATAATATTGCTATCTCGGTGGTTTTCTCGTACCGATGACGTCGTAATATTCGCATTGTTTTATTTTAACCTGATACTATAAATAACGTTGCACATAGGGTGAGCATTAACTTAATGTACAGTCACTAACCCGCAACAGCTTCAATAAGTAACCCTGCAGTCATTCTGATGGTTACTTAATTTTCATTCGCAGTGCGTATCTGATTACGACGAGTTATTTTTGAAAACGTCGAAACGAAAACTTAACGAGACGGCTTTTGAATAGAAAAAAATTTGATGTTTTTTTTAAAAAAAAATCCTTGGTTTTGTACGTTTCCTTTACTGCTATTGAAAATAATTTTTGAGTATGCGCCGATCGACGTTGATAAATGTGTATATAGTAGAATCTGTTTATTACGATGCCGTACATAACGATATTCCGGATAAAACGATTCCTAGCCATGTATTTGGTTGGTTTTATATCTCGTGTAGGTAATGTTTTCGTCATCTGGATACAACGAATTTCGGATATAACGATCTGATTATTTAGGTTCTTTCCGAAGATCGTTATAAGCGGATTCTACTGTACTTGTAAAGTTATATAAATTTTTTTTTTTTTTTTTTGTTCAGGTAACCACTTTGTTCCGAACGCTTATTCGCACCCTCATCAAAAGTCCACTTTATGCGTTTACGCTAAATGTGTAATGCCTGCAAAATGATAATGATGTATAATAATGTAGTGTGCAAATATAATGGTACGCTAGTACGGATACAACGATCGGTTGTACGGTATACGTGCCGTGGTCAAGAAATATTAACACATTCGTCAAAATATACGGATAGCATTGATCGATGACTGGCGACTGGCTGTGTAGAACAACGACAGCGACGGTCTGAAGCCGGGTTCACACGTAGTCGTGAAATGAGCGGGAATACTATTTGACGGCTACGTGTGTACTCGGCTTAGACTATAATATTAAGTGGCAAAAATAAATTTTGTTAATGTAAATCATGCAGCAGCAGCAGCTTACTGTACAAAGATATATGAAATATATAATATTTATATTTATTTATTAATCATTTATTTTTTATTTTATTTGTTTATTTATTATATTTAATATTTTTAAATATTTACTGAAAAATTTACAACAAAATTTAATGACAATTTGAAAACGCAATAAATTTATAACGTAATGTAAAATACGATAAACTGTTTCCGAAAAAAATAGAATATTGTCATTACTAAATGTATGACGTATCAGATTAGTTTTAAATCTACTAATCTTGATTTAATAAAAATAACTAAATAATAGTATCATATTCAGAAATCAAGTATACTGTATAAAATATGTAACAAACTTGTGGTTATGCAATTTTACTATTATTTCCAACGACTTCATATACTCGTATTTTTAATTTTGTCATAGTTAAATTATTCGCAATGTTAATTATTTGTAAACAGTATTATTATAATAAAATTTAATCTAATCGTTATGAAAAGTTAAATAAAAAATTGTAATTAACATTATTATGCAAACAATTTAATAAACCTATTTACTAAATTAAACAAAAAATAACATATAATTAATATATGCTTAAGTCTTAAGATAATAAATATCGATTATAACTAGACTGAGTGATTTCTTAATTATACTTAAACCTTTTTTTATCTATAAATTAACATTTTTTTCAAATTTTGTTTTTCAAATCAATATTATATATAATAGTAATACTATAAATTTACAAAGAGAATAAATTTAGAGTACTCTGTATTCCTGTAAAATGTGTGCATATATATACACATTTAATCTTTATATTTTACATATAAAAATTTCTCGTACTTTTCCACTATAATTTTTTGATAAAGTTTTATTTCGCTACCTCATTTTTGGCATTGTATCGCACAAGGTAGCTGGTCATAACCTTTGAAGTATTTAACTGTGAATTTTTCAGTTAAAAAAGGTTTATAAGATTATTTTACAAACATTTTATAAAGTTGCCTATAAATATAAAATATATAAATATCTTTATTAGAAATATTTAGTTTTAAACAACACAAACGATTAGAGATACGTCCTTTGTGAACAAACCAATCAGGATCACAAACATATAAAAACTCGATCAATTCGTTCGATTTCGTTCACGTTCAGGATACATTGCTTGAGAACGAACGGATCCGGAATCCGGATCATGAATAAAAATCCTTCATTCGTTCGATTTTATTATTGATTGCATATGGACCGTTTTTATAAACTATTTTACGTTCCAATAATATATTATAAATCATAATTCGATTATGATTTTATGACGAAGTACATTTAATCATTCTAGTATCAAAATCAAATTAGTTCAGTTTGTTCAAGGATAAGAAATTTTGCGAACACGATTGATCCAATGGATCATTATATTATCCGGTTCAATGCAATAATAATTATGTTAGTTTATCGTTCAATGAACGAAAGTTAGTCAATCATATGAACGATTATTTTGAATAACCCGATCCAAATGAACCAAATCTTTCAAATTATCCGTTTCACCCATAACTGCAAATGACATTAAGCCATCTAAACAATTTTTATGCCGACAGTAATCTCTCACCTCGATACGGTTCCCTTATTATTGGTGAGGTAGATTCCATTTCATTAATATTGTTATCGACGATAAGCACTAGGAATTTTTAGGATGAAACATATAAAATGGTATAAAATATCATAATACAATACTACAAGCATGTTATCTATGGTATAAAACAAAACATAAGTAGACCGCATATTGGGAAATAACAAAACTATATAGCGTTAATCCAAATGTTTACTATAATGTTATAGCGAACATTTCAAATAAGTTCACCGAATAATCATTTGCGTATTTTACTATTCGAAAAACAAAAGTTGATATTGCCACCGGATACTTTTTAAGGCGTACGCAAAATCGATGTATTGGAAAAACATTATAGTTTTGTAGTATACATACCAATATAATTCCCAAAGATCAACATTTTAAAAAATGGATAGCTCAATCGTATTTAAGACATGAGCTGATGAGCGTACCAAAAAAAAATTCACGTCCTAAACATTAAACCGGCACCTCTAACCGGTATGATACGCGTGCGCACAATAGAATTGTTTTCTTCAAACTATTCGTATGTAGTAATGACGACGCATGGAAACAAAACAATATTATTTTTCTTCGGAGATGCTGCGACGTACACGCATACGTACATGTGTGTACGTGCGCGTGAGTGTGATCACAGCAGTCGCGTACCCCGTGCGGAGTATATATGTAGTTACAGGACCCGTTATCGAGCGCGCCATTTGTACGGATGATCCTATTGCGGAGTTGAGGGGGTGCGAAAGAGATGTATAGTGATGGCACGTATACGGTGCACGGGGGACGAGCGTGGAAGGAAGAGATACGGCTGTGCAAAGGGTAGAAGTATACAGTACGCGCGTGTGTGTATATATATATATAT